CATACACTTGGTATTTTTCTTGGAACCTCTTGTCCTTCAATGGATAAGAAGGAACCTTGAGATGACTCAGCAAGGAGGGGAGACGAATCGACTGGGGCAATTTAGACCTTTTAGGTCCACCGACTTTGGCATTTCGGGTACTTCAAGTAAGTATTCACTCCTATATAAAGGAGATGAGGTAACCCTAAACCCTAACTCTCATTCATTTTCACACTCTCTTGATAGCTGCTGCACAGCATCCCTTCATCTCTCTCATACTGACTTGAGCGTCGGAGGCTCTACGCCGGAAACACCTCCGGCGTTGAGTTTTTGCAGGTATTCTCACGGTCTAGCAACGGTTCAAAGGTGATTCAAACAGATCTGAGCTCTTTACCACCGGTTCACTCCAGATCTGAGAGTAGACCCATCAATGTGCATGTAGCAGATACTCCCAAAGACTTGTAGATGTTGGGATGATGGTTTTCGTCCACTCCAAGCTTCTATTGGAGTTTTATTTTGGACTGCTTTAGTAGGGCACATGTTAAGTAGATAGACTGTTGTTATACAAAAGACCCTCGATCGGTTGGAATCGCCTACTCACGAGCTTCCTCGCCGGTTGAATGCATCCGATGCTTAAATGAGTATATGTAGGAGATGATTTATACCGGTTTTAGCGGTTTATACCGGTTTCATACCGGAAAATACTGGTTTTACCGGTAAATACCGGCCAAAATACCGGTCAAAATACCAGTTTATGCCATTTTTTAAAAAAATAAATATATTTTAATATATTTTCATTAATTTATTTATATAAATTGAAAATTCTACACTTAATTTTAATATGTTTACATTGTTATTAGATGTTAATTAATTTTACCATTAGTTAAAGTCAGTTTTGTACATCATTTATATTATAATAACAAATTTATTTAATATTTATTGAAACCGGTAAAATAGACTGTAATACCGGTTGAACCGCGTACCGTTGGCTCGTCCGGTATGATTACCGGTACGGTATTTAAAATACTGTGTTTAATCTTTAATGTGTAGGTGTTGGTGGGCCCCAACTGATATGGGTGGTTGAAGACCACATTACCCTTAATTACTCCTGATGTGTTTAAAAATTTGGCTTTTTTTAACCGTATGATGATCAGATTATGTGGCTAGGATTTATTCTTATTTCTTTCACTGAGTACCATTCTCACCGGAGCACGACCCTATATATATATATATATATAAACTCTAAATAGTCTTTCTCAATTCATCGTTCAAAATTTTTTCTGGTACTGAAAGGAAAAAATAAATAAAGAGAAAAAAGAAAAAGAAAACTACTATATTTACACTCTTATATCATTTAGCTCACATTATTAAAAAAGTGGGCGTGTTTGGATACAAACAAATCTATTTTAATCGAAGTTTTTGTTAATCAGTATTAATTTTAGAAATAAAAATATGATTAGTTATTAGTGTGATGGAGACGAGATTCCGTTAGCCTTTTTGGATAAGCATGATCGTTCAACATCATTAATATAATTATTTATTTCATATGTTTTATTTATTTATTTATTTTTAATATTTATTAAAGACATCCTATATTTTTTAGAAAACTTATTTATATTATTACAGTCATTTACTTGTTGGGCAAGATATTTACTTAGAGTTAAGAGTTCTATTTAATGACTCATCTTCTATTTTCTTTAGAGTAAATTTTGATTGAAATAAAAATACACTGAGAATTTTCTCTTGATTCTCTCAATCGTTTACTATTTCTCTACTTCAATTGGTATAAAAAGACCAGTATGATTCCTACACGATACTGCTGAAAAGAAGCACAATGCCGCAATCGAGGCGTTGTGATGCTAAGTCGCGGATCTGACCGCGTGGCTCGAGGACATGAGGCTGGCACTACAAGCCGTTGCACACAACGTTCGTACCAAGCGCGTGTCGAACGAAGTACGTGGCGAACGCGAGGGGTGGGATGGTTCGCGGTGGACGCGATCCGGGTACTAGCGAAGCACACCGCTCCGAATCGCCTTCGTCGATCTTCGGTGGCAATGATCTTGAGAACACCATCTCCGAGGTAAATTCATTTGGTACAATGGCGGCGCGGGACGAGGGCTAGTTTGTCGATGATCGGCGTAAGATGTCATTGTTCTGGGTCGAGATCCCAGGATTTTCAGGGGCTCCTGAGGATGAGCAGGGGTCGACCGAATATGAGAGTCCGCCTCTTTTTTATGATGAGGGTACGACCGCATATGAAAGTCTGCTTCTTTTTTATGATGAGGGGTCGTCCGAATATGAGGGTCCGTCTCTTTTTTATGACGAGGGGTTGACCGATTATGAGAGTGTAGACATCGAAATTTTAATATTTTATTAATTAATGTCTTTATTTATTTTTTGAACATAAATCCATATTAAATAAGATATATAATTAATAATGTTATTATTTCTTGCCCACCAAGTCAAATCTTAGGATAAGGAAATAGATGATATTAAATCAAGAAGGACCAATCAAATTGATGTCTTCTTCTCCAAGACTCTCTTTCCTACACATATAAATAGGGCTCTCCTCAATGCCACAAATCATGCCTAAAAAATTCAACACCTCAAAAATCAAACACACCTCAAAAATTCAAATCTCAAATCCAAGAGCTTTCAATAATTCTCTTGAGTATCCAAAGATGTTCTTCAAGATCCAAGACATTAAAGTTAAAGATCGTATTTCAAGTTCAAATCCCTCTCCAAGAAGTATCAAAGAAGAAATCAACGTTGAAGTCCAAGTCTCTCTCCAAGAAAGATCAAATGAAGCAAGTCCTCTAAGAAGTCGTCTTCAACCAAATCAAGTCCTAACATTTAATACGGGAATAAGTCATTCGACCCCCAAATTAATGTTAGAGAATTCAAGACCAAACCCGAAGGAGATTCAATCTTCAAATCCATCTTTCAAGGTCTCAAGCCCACATCCATGAAGAGAAGAATCAAAGGAGATAAATAGTGATTGGACCCGCAAATATCGCTTGATCGAAATAAAATCAAGTTGTACAAAAGTTTTGTGTTTTTCATAAAATTTGTTTTTACAAATTTGGCATGCCAAGTGGGACATTCTCTACCTCTCATCTCTTCTCTCCAAATCAAGTTCAAAGATCTTTGAAGATGCATGAAGACCTCTGTGAAGAAAATGTGCACGGGGGCAACGAAGGATGATGTCTTCCTAAGCCATGAATTCGTCGAAAATCTTCGTGTTCATCAAACATCCGAATGGAGGAAATAAAAGTGGTCTTCCATATTCTTCTCAAATTTCATGGGGACAATTTACATGAAAAGCTCCATCAAATCCTCAAATTCAAGTGCTCCTTGATATGAGCCTAAACTATCTACATATTCAAATGCTCATGGACATGAGCTAAAGTATCTATATAGCTCCTTGACACGAGCATAAAATGTCTACAAACTTGAAGGCTCCTTGACACAAGCATAAAATGTCTGCAAATCAAGGTCTCCTTGACACGAGAATAAAAGGTCTACATATCAAACTTGAAGGCTCATTGACACGAGCATAAAATGTCTACATATCAAAATCTCCTTGACACGAGAATAAAAGGTCTACATATAAAATTCGAAGGCTCCTTGATACAAGCATAAAATGTCTACATATCGAGAACTCCTTGACACGAGCATAAAATGTCTACAAATTTGAAGACTCCTTGATACGAGTATAAACTATCTGTCAAACCAAATCACGACTCCTTGATACGAGTATAAACTATCTACATATCAAATCAACACTCCTTGGTACGAGTATAAACTATCTATAAATCAAATCGAATGAAGAACTCCTTGATACGAGTATAAACTATCTACATATCAAGTCAAATGAAGAACTCTTTGATACGAGTGTAAACTATCTACCAAGTCAAATCAAGAACTACTTGATACGAGTATAAACTATCTATCAAATCAAATTAAGACTCCTTGAAACGAGTTTAAACTATCTACAAATCAAGTCAAATGAAGAACTCCCTGATATGAGTTTAAACTATCTACAAACTCAAGTCGAAGAACTCCTAGATAAGAGTTTAAACTATCTGCGTGACCAAACTAAATTCAGAATTTTGAGACTCATTCACTCCAAGACATTTTGTCCATGAACAAGTCTCAAGGGGGCATTTGTAGACATCGAAATTTTAATATTTTATTAATTAATGTCTTTATTTATTTTTTGGACATAAATCAATAATAAATAAGATATATAATTAATAATGTTATTATTTCTTGCCCACCAAGTCAAATCTTAGGATAAGAAAGAATCTTAGGATAAGGAAAGAGATGATATCAAATCAAGAAGAACCAATCAAATTGATGTCTTCTTCTCCAAGACTCTCTCTCCTACACCTATAAATAGGGCTCTCCTCAATGCCACAAATCACACCTCAAAAAATCCAACACCTTAAAAAAATCCAACACCTCAAAAATCAAACACACCTCAAAAATTCAAATCTCAAATCCAAGAGCTTTCAATAATTGTTTTGAGTATCCAAAGGTGTTCTCTAAGATCCAAGACATTAAAGTTAAAGATCGTCTTTCAAGTTCAAGTTCCTCTCCAAGAAGGATCAAAGAAGAAATCGACGTTCAAGTCCAAGTCTCTCTCCAAGAAGGATCAAAGAAGCAAGTCCTCTAAGAAGTCGTTTTCAACCAAATCAAGTCCTAACATTTAATACGGGAATAAGTCATTCGACCCCCAAATTAATGTTAGAGAAATTCAAGACCAAGCCCGAAGGAGATTCAATCTTCAAATCCATCTTTCAAGGTCTCAAGCCCACATCCATGAAGAGAAGAATCAGAGGAGATAAATAGAGATTGTACCCGCAATATCGTTTGATCGAAATAAAATCAAGTTGTACAAAAGCTTTGTGTTTTTCATAAAATTTGTTGTTACAGAGAGTCCGCTTCTTTTTTATGACGAGGTTATCGACACTTAAAGTACGCTGCTAAGTTGGAGAAGTTTTTGCCCATTAGGAAAAATGGAGGAGAAATTTATGCAGAAGGAGCTTTTGCGGCAAGAGAATGAAGCAACTAGACAGAGAGCTACCATGGAGAGAGCAGCGGCACAGAGAATTGCTAAAGAGTCAGTAGGTCTAATATAAGATGAGCGCTTGGAGCTAATGGAATTAGTTGCTTCAAGCAAAGGATTTCCTTCAATTCTATCTCTTGATTATGACAGTGTACGAAACTTTCAGTTGTTCCAAGATGCCTTAGTGTGAATTCCCGCCAAAGTCTGTCCAACTGAAAATGTCTTTTGCCTTCCAACCTTGGATGGGTTCAGAGGAAATTAATGTTGGCAACCTGTGGAAGAAGAAGAGGCTTCTAATGCATCTTACAAGCAGATTACAGATGCGTGTCGTCGCCATGTCTCGTGAGTATACCAAGTTATTAGTCCTTATAATTGGCCCGGTCGAGGTTGTGGAGACGAGATTGCGCCAGATTCAAGGGTGTATCCTTTTCGGGAGGGGGAGAGTGGTGGAGACGAGATTGCGTTGGCCTTTTTGGACAAGCATGATCGTTTATCACCATTGGTTTAATTATTTATTTTCTTTATTTTGTTTATTTATTTCCTTTGTTTTAATATTTATTAAGGGCATGTTATATTTGTTAGGAAACTTATTTTTTTTATTATTGTCTTTTATTTGTTGGGCCAGATTTTTACGTAGGGTTGAGAGTTCTATTTAAAGACTCATCTTCTATTGTTTAGAGAAAGTTGGTTTTGATTGAAATATAAATATCGAGAGTTTTATTTTGATTCCCCCAATCGTTTACGCGTTCATAGTGAGATTTTGAGTTTATATTAAAATAATATAATCAAGTTGATATAAAAGTATGAGAGAGATGATGTGGACTTATTAATAGTTAAAATTATGTTAGTGGATAAATATTGAATTAAAGATAAAATAATTTCAAAGAATGAGTGATTGATGTTAGTTAATTATGTTGATAATATTAATAATAGTTGAGTTAATTTAAACTTAGTTAGATTTTGAATATCAATTCAAAAAAATTTATAAACAAACACCCAATTTTCCAAGTTCTCATATTAAATCGACAGAAAATATTACGGTCTCGTTACGGAATCATCCCGTCTGGAGTTTTAACCGTTGGATAAACGCATAGTTAATATAAGGTAAATGATCTAACAGTTAAAATATCCGACGAGATAGTTCCATGGCATTTCCCTAAATCGACAATCTTTATTTCAAGTTTCAACACAGTTTGCAACTAAAATTTGCAATTCAAACCCAAAAACTGATAAAACTACAGCTTGAGGCTCAAGTCAAGAAAGTTGGACTTCTCGGACTCCTGTACATCAAATCGGAAACTTCCCGGCCACACGAGACAATCTTCTCCTCCCTCGAGACGCCCCGCGCCAAATCTCGCGTCCGTCTCGCCGAATCTTGCGGCCTTCGGAGCCCCATCTCGGCCCGCGGGCTTGTGTATGAGCGAGTGCGCTCTCACGCCTAGCGACCTGGCCAGTGGAGCCCCGTCGACCGTCAGGTGCATCATCCTTTGAGATTGGTACTGTCTCGCGCCCCTTTCTCTCTTGTGTGCGTTTTGGTGCCCGCCTAACGCCTGCGAGCTGTAGAACTTGCGCATGCAGAAATTGCAAGAGAATAATTTGGGGGAAATATTATCAACAGGTGGTGATGATTCTGATTTTGGCTCTGTGGATTTGGATTCTTCTGATGGGTTTACGCCCAGGCTCAAGTTCAGCCATTCGGCTGGATTTTTCGCTTGGCTTTGTTTCTCTTGCTCTGTAATTTCTTCACTTTGCATCTTTTGTTCTTTTTTCCGTTTGTGGTTGTGTTTTCTCAAATTCAGATGATATGCTGATAACTTACTCTGAGTAAGAGAAATGATTCTATATTCTGAAAGGTGTGGGATAATTGAGGCCGACCATCGGAAGATATAAAGAAGACATTTTTAGGTCCATCATGTGTTTGTTTTAATGCCCCACTGAAAGTGATGCTTGGATTTTTGAAAGGGGGATGCTGACGTCACACTTCATTGTTAAAGCTTTGAGATGCCCACTCATAGTATTCTAATCACTATGGAAACCACATCACCTTTTGTTCCTGTTTTTCTATCACAGAAAGTAAGGATGGCACTTTAGTCGGCCATCCCTTATTTATGCGGACAGATAAAAGACATTGAAGTATGTTTATATTTGCCTGCCATAATTTCTGCATCTAATTTGAGAGTATGTATACTTTATGCTATTGTTGATAATATTTTCAATGTCAACTTATCCTAATCCATTGTGTTCTTTAGAGCTTGACCTATTATTTGAATGGAATTATTGAACATACTTTTCTTATAGATTTTAATTGATCAGCCGTCCCATGCCATCCTGTGTTTCATTGTCTATTATAAGATAAGTTCATGTCATTGGTGCTTATTCACATGATTTGTCTATTTGATTGTACGATGAAACACTATCTAATTGCTATGAGAGATCTCCGCCATTGATATTTAGCCTAAATAATCTGTTTTTTTTTTTTAAAAAAATTTGCAAATACTCCCTTGGGGCATCATAGACTCCCTCTTGAGAATTAATATTTGTTTTTTTTTTTAAAAAAGTATTTGTAAATTAAAAAGATAACATGTCGTCATTTCCTTGTTTTAAATTTTTCTTGTGACGAATAAAGCCTGGAGAGCCGTATTTGTAAATATCCATATAACAATTTTGGGAACAAAATATCTGGTGTCGTAACTTGCTTGTTTTGTCATAGGCTGAGATGGTGAGTTGTGAAAGCTTTCAAGTCAGGTAGGTACGATTCATAATGAAGATGGAACCCATTTAAACATAGTGTTCCCTCTATATATATAAAGATAGTGAATTATAAGCTCTGATTGAGAATATAGATTCTGAAGATAGTGGTTGAATAATTATACACCATGTTGGATATATATGGTTGATTTTGATGTAAAAACAAAGTCTTTGTAGCCTTATATGTGGTCTTCAGACTTGGCTATAAATAATGGTTGAATAAATTAGGGAAAAATTGACCTGTGGGGTAGCTTGGCCAGTTTTCTTTAGGTTTTTTCTGTGAACATGAGGATCTGAGTGGGTGCATTCATGTTGGGACTACTTTTGGAATTTTGCCTTTCTGGCATGTGTAATGCTGTAAATTCTGTGACTTTTTTTAAGAGGAGTTTTCTAATTGTCCACTATGGATTATCTGATCATCTCCACCACACTAATTGATCTTTAGCTTTATTTATTATGTATTTGGTGATAAAACCTATGAAGTCTAGTGCATAAATGATTTTTCAAAGTTACATACATGCACTTGATGCTGTGATAAGATGAGTTTCCCAGGCCGCACATTTTTACACCTTTATTGCGATTTGGATCCTGTATTTCTTACAACCACCAACACCGATTAACACCAAGTGTGAGTCGACGACTTGATTGTATACATTTGCGTCGAATGATATTGGGCAACGAGATCCTGCCTGCTTTTCTCGAAACATTATTTGACTAATTCATAAGTTTTTGTAGATGTCCAAATTAAAGTGGCACAATGCCATTACTGAAAAAGGTAGAGGATGCTTCAAGTTCTCGCCTAAGGGCATCTTTTTTTTTCCCCAAAACGACAAATTATATTATAAATCAAAAAGCACAAATGTGCAAATACACAGCAGCCAACGACTGAATACACAGCAGCCAACAGCTGAAAAAGTGGGAGGACAGGTCAGAAGACCGCCTAGAGACCCGACTAGCAACGCTAGAATAAAACTCGCGACTAAAACTAACCAACTAAAACAACAAACAACAACTAATAAGACCCCAACGGAGTAATACCCGAGTGTCGGATCCCAACGGGATAATAAGGTGACACTCGAGTTCACAGAGGCCAACGACCCAGACCAAAAACACGAGTCCTAAAAAACAACAAATACAACAAACACAACAATAATAACTATACTAATAAGACTAAATGAACAAGCGCAACCCTTCCCCAACAGAACTACCGAGTCCAGCACAAAGCACCAGCAAAATAGGACCAACCCACCCACTGCGTGATCCGAAATCCAGAACGCCATTCTCGCCACTGCCTAAACGCCTAGCAAAGGACGAGTCCCGAATCTCGAAACCCGACCGCCCCGAATCCGACCATCACCACTGGCCCAAATCCGAGAACACCGGGCATCCTCTTCCAGCACACCAAAAGAGAAGAGAATAGGGGGGTTCGAACCTCATCCAGCCGAACGACCACACTGGATCCCGGAGACCAATAACCCGAACCCTCCAGCCGACCACCACCACCCGAGCATCGAGGACAACAGCCCAGCCCGGCCAAATGACGGCCAACTCCAAAACCCCGCGCCGGAGTCGAGGATAACCAAAAGGTTCGGAGTACCTTCTCCACCCCAATCCCTAGGACAGGAAATTGGGGTCGCAACCCACGCCAATCGAACGCCTGAGGACCGCCGCAGCGAAGATGCCGGAGGAGAATCGACCGCCCGAAGCCGTCCCAGCACCATGAACGGCGACACAGGGACTCGGGATTTACCATCTCCCCGGCGAAGAAGCCCCCTCAAAACCAGCGAACTCTCGACAAAAGGGCAGCGAGATCTAGTGGAGTCGCCACCGTGCGCTCGTTCGGTCTCGCCGGGGAAGGCGATTGAAATTGAATTTGGAAAATTTAGGCTTGAGAGTTTTTGGGGAAGACGAGTTTCGTAGAGAGAGAATTCATTTTAATTAGTTCCGCCTAAGGGCATCTTTAATAAGAGGTTTTGATGAGTTTTATAAATCTCACTTTTTGAGGTTTAACTATTAAAGGAGGAGTTTTTTACAAATGTAAACCAAGTTTACATTATTAAACTTTACATAAACCTCAATAAAAAAAATATTAAAAGTACAAAAAGTGATATTATAATGTTAAAATATTAATAAAAATATAAGAGTATAATATTAAGTGGGAAACATGTGCGGGACCATAAAAAGGAGGATTAAGAGGTTTATTGTTATTGGAAATTTGTGAGTGTAGGAGTAAGAATGAGGTTTTTAATGATGTGTCATATTGGAAAGTGTAAAAAGAGGTTTATGGGATTTAATTGATAAAGATGCTCTAAAACTAAGTTTGACACCCATTTCTTGCTGTCAAATTATGTTGGTAGTTGCCTTCATCTTTTACTTGTGTTGTTTTGTTCGAGGGATTTGGAGGGGAGGGGAGCAAAATTTAAGTAGAATTCCTTCCCCTCCTTACTCTTGCTCCGATCCAAAATTGGACGGGTTTGGAGGGGAAGTGGGTTAATTGAGTATGAATTGACTATCTTGATCTTACTTTCAATTTTTCTAATTTTCCTTCTCTTATTTCATTAAGGATAAATTCGTCATTTCAACTCTTTCATTTCTCCTTTATTTTTTACCTAAGGGCAATGCTAGAGGTACATAGAATATTACATAACCGTGTACATAATGTTGAGGTGGCGAGATTTTAAAATAAATTTCTCGTCTACCAATGTTCCCATATACTCCACAAGTAAAATCAGTCATCTTTCTTTCTCTCCATTTCCACAA